ATTTGCACAAACGGTTGTAGATTGTCCCACAAGTGAGTTCTTCTGCTCTCTTTGGTGTGTTAGGATACAGTTGAGAAAGCATCGTTTTGAAGACGGTATCGAATACTTTATCTGCCGCTGGAAGTTCCAGCGCAGAAACGCTGGAAACGCCTTCTGGCATGACATCAGCTTCGTTGAGGTGTGCCATGTACTGCATCACTTTGCTCATACGAGAGTGACGCATTTTATGCATTGGCTTGATATCGTACTGCTTACTCAGTAGTTTGTACGGTCGGATCCCAGCGTCAAAACTGCCAAAAAAAAACACACAGATTCCACATTTGCTTTACACTAACTAGTACGGGCTGGAAACTCCCAGCCTTTTGGCACAGCATGACCCAATTGACCATCATTCCACTGCCATGTTCGCCACGGCGTACTTGCTGGCTTCGTTGGCGCAATGATTCCGCTACCGCAGGGAGAACGTATAGAATTAATAGCTTTTCGAATTTCATCCGACAACTCCACACGAAGACTAGCAAGGTCTCGAAGCGACACAGGAGCCACTCCACCTACGACAAAGTGCTGTCGAAGCTCGGAAACCACTTTTGCAGACACAGGGTCAGGAAGAGACGTCGTGATCTCTGTTTTGAGCTGGTTAACCTCTTTATTGAGATTAAATAACTCTTGACGGAGGTCTTTCACCTCGGTGGCAATGGCCAGATGGGCTGGCATACCAGTTGCCTTCATCCCACACGCTGGGGAAGACCCAATTACCAGATTTATTGACCCGCGTTGCTTGCTTAGTAGTGGATTCGCTGAAAAAAACTCTCGCTTTAAATATTGGATGCGCAGGACTAAGCGCAGCTCGCAGATATTGCTCATGATGAATAACTGACGACAAAATAAACGGAAATGCTGCTCTTACACCACGGGGATAATTGTTGAACCCACTTCCCAGCACAAAGATGTCATTTCGCAAATTGTCGCTGTCGAAAAATGAGGAGGGAGCACCCCGAAGCGCTTGGAATTAAACGGCAGTCCTGAAATCATTCTTCCACACAATTGATCTGCTCCTTCGCCAAAATGGATGTAGCGGTCTTTAAGCTTCCCCAGACTTTGACCCACGAAGATACACAGACACTGGGTGGGTCCATTCACTTGTCTAAGGGTATGGGAACTGCAGCCTTTTCGTACAGATTTCCCCGGCAAATCCACAACTGCAGTCGTTGATATTTCTCGTGCACTCAGTGGTCAGACGCGAAGAGAGATGGGCAGCACTAGACAGGACGCGTA